TCACTGCGGGAACCCGGCGCGTTAGGGACCGACACTCCCAAAACGGGAGCGTCTGTCCCCAAATCTGCGGCTCGGGAGGAGCGGGACCCGCGCTGTGCCCCCCCATCAATGCCGGGTTTGGGGACCCCACAGCCCCGATCCCCTCACAAACCCGCTATGGGGGACCTGCCCAGCACCCCCCATCAATGCCGGGTTTGGGGACCCTCCACAGCCCCTCTGCCCCCTCTGGTCCCCTGCTAATGGGGGACCTGCCCCACGCCCCCCATCAATGCCTGGTTTGGGGACCCTCCACAGCCCAGTTCCCCCTCGTGTCCCCCGCTAATGGGGGACCTGCCTCACGCCCCCAAACAATGCCGGGTTTGGGGACCCTCCACAGCTTTGTGTCCCCTGCTATGGGGGACCTGCCCTGCGCCCCCCAACCATCCCCAGTTTGGGGACCCTCCACAGCCCGGTTCCCCCTCGTGTCCCCTGCTATTGGGGACTCCTAAGCCCCCCCAGCCAGTTTGGGGGGTCCTGGCTGCTGGGGCTGGTGCTCAGACCAGCAGCAGGCCCTGACTGATTTCAGACCTCACAGCTCATTTATTAAAATTCTAATTAATTCATTTAAACCAAAATTCATTAATTCAACTATAACACGAAGTGAAAATTCGCTCTTTTCCCCTTTTCCTCACCCCATAAATGGCTTGTGCTTCATCCTTCCCATTCCCCCCCTCCCGCGGGTCCCGCTCCTCCCGAGCCGCAGATTTGGGGACAGACACTCCCGTTTTGGGATTGTCAGTCCCTAACGCGCCGGGTTCCCGCAGTGAAGCTGAACGGCGGCCGCCACGTGCAGGGCATCCTGCGGGGCTTCGACCCCTTCATGAACTTGGTCATCGACGAGTGCGTGGAGATGGCACCGGGCGGGCAGCAGAACAACATCGGCATGGTGGTGAGAGCTGCTGGGAGCACACTGGGAGCGCCACTGGGAGCACTGGGAACATACTGGGAGCACTGGTGGGAGCCACGAGTGCAGAATGAGCGGGAAGTTTGGTGAGGGACAGGTTGGGGATGTGTCAGGTGGGAATTCAGCAGAGCTTTGGGTGCTTCTGCTTCTGAGAGAGGTGAAGTCATGGCTGGAAACACCTGGATGGACGGACGGATGGATGGACGGATGGATGGATGATGGATGGATGATGGATGGATGATGGATGGATGGATGATGGATGGATGATGGATGGATGGATGGATGATGGATGGATGATGGACGGATGGATGATGGATGGACGGATGATGGATGGACGGATGATGGATGGATGGATGATGGATGGATGATGGATGATGGATGGATGATGGATGGATGGGTGATGGATGGATGATGGATGGATGGATGATGGATGGATGATGGATGATGGATGATGGATGGATGGATGATGGATGGATGGATGATGGATGGATGATGGATGGATGGATGATGGATGGATGGATGATGGATGGATGGATGATGGATGGATGGATGATGGATGGATGGATGATGGTTGGATGGGTGGATGATGGATGGATGGGTGGATGATGGATGGATGGATGGATAGATAAAGGATGATGGATGGATGGACCCAAGGACTGGTGGGAACAGGGCCAGGCATCAGCTCCAGGGGGCCCTTGTGGCTCTGCAGAGCTCCCTGCCAGGAGGGGACAGCCGGGGGGATTTGGGATCATCCCAGGGAACAGGGACAGGAGGAGAGGGAACAGCCCCAGGCTGGGCCAGGGGAGCTCAGGGTGGACAGCAGCAGGAATTTCCCCATGGAAAGGGAACTCGCAACTGCCCAGGAAGGTTCAGATCCCCATCCCTGGAGGTGTCCCAGGAACTCCTGGAGGTGGCACTCGGAGCTCCGGGCTGGGGACAGGGTTGCACTCGATGATCCCAGAGG